ATTACAAGTAGCCCTAATGGGGTAATAACGTGCCTCCTTCCGCTCCCTTCCGACCCCCCCCCACAGACACACACAGCTAAACGGGAATTGCCTCCTATCTGCCCAACCAAAGGGATAAGTGGCGCGAGTAACAAAGGATCACCCGCTCGATCTGAGTAGAGACATGTTTGGGTAAAATATCGGTGTACCTTAGAAGTTTTCTTCCCCAAATCTCGAGGCATTTGCGATTGAGTTAGGTTTTAGGCGTCATAGCAGCGACAAGGAGCTCAAGGAGTTGGGACACCACTTGTCCCACCTCAACAGGCGGCAATGGAGACGGCAGACATTCCTTAGCTTACAGTCTGACCGGTAATGAGCAGTGACGATTGTTGATACCATGAAAAGTAGGCTTAAGTGTTTACTTCCATCACCTCATATTCATCTGCTCAAAACTCCTCTGACAGTGTACCCAACTATTGTGTGACCTGTAGTGCATTGGTTGTCTCCTGCTACGATTCCAACAACTCAACCGAATAGAAGAACACATTCCCTCGGTCTGATTTTCACACCCATGACTTCATCATTAAAATTTCACCACGGTAAAGGTAGAAAAAGGTATGATTGGAGGCCATTGTTTGCTTACTCGTCAGGCATATAGATGCAATTAAGCAAGACCGCGAAATATAAAAAGCAAAGTGCGACATCTAGTTGGCCTTGCCAAGTAAACAGGTTTGTGTGATGGCTAGTGGAAACAAAAGCCCCATTTGAGAAGGCGAGAGAGGGAAAGAGAGAGAGAGAGGCGGGCGGAGAATTAAACAAAAACAATGAAAACCCTCCTGTCTCGGCATTCTTGATAGAGAAGAGTTTTAAATGGTTGACCACTTGAATAGTTAGGTGGAGAGAACTATGCCAGTGGACTGTAATTGTCCACCAAATGTGCAAAGGCATGGTTTGTGTGAGGAGGACTCCTCCTTGTGCCTTTTGTGACTCACAAGCAGTCAGGCCATAAGGCCCAGTGTCATCTGTGCATTGCACATGATGTTCTCTTCCCTCCTTCCGCGTGTACAAGCGGACGCTATCGGTAAACACCCTTTGTGTAAAAATAGACGCAATTGTTCGCCCAATCTTGACACCAAGTGTACACTCGGATGAAACGCACACACATACACACACATTTCATCTTTACACATGTACATAAGAGCTTGTTGAAAGGAAGTAAAGGTGGCTGATATTTCTTGACCCATTTTAACCATGCAAAATGAAGACTTACGTATCCGATTGGGAAAAAATGGGTGGTAAGTATGCGAGTATGCATACGTGCAAGTTTAGTGTTTAAGAAATTTATAAGTAGGATTCGCGGTGTGCTGATTATCAGTGCGTTGGTTATACGTTTGACAGAACAGTAGATTTTATTGAAGATAATGAGGAGGAGGAGGAGGAG